CAGCCTACTCAACGTGTGTGGTATGAATTGAAAATTACATGCATCTAATTGTTATTATTAATTGAAGTTGTTGCTGCAAGTGCATTATGGACAAAGCACCATTTGCAAGAAACCCTATAAGAAGTTTTAGAAATTTTTAGTCAGTGATAAATTGATAGGAATTCATGGTCAAGGAGATGATTGAGGGAATTGAGGAAAAATGTCAATTGCAGAGTAATAGGTTGATTGAATATAGAATTCTCCAAATTAACATTATTAGCTTTACAAGTTGGTGGGGGGGGGGGTTTGAGGAGGAGGGTAGAGGGGAACTTTGTTTAAGTCTGGTAATAATGGGCACATTAATCTGTGTTGCTTGCCAGTGTTGCATATGTTAGATGATGTTCTGCACAAAAATTAAAGAGGTATGTAGTCAGTAAGGATGTAATTGATAACTATATTTGTAGCATATTACATCAACTATATTTGTAGCATCTGATTATTACTTGAATAATCTGCAGCATATTTTGAGAATTTGTGCTGTTCTTTTGAGGAGTTGCTGCAGGGTTGAGGGGTATCTTAGAATGTTGAATTAATTTGAGCATTGTTACTGGTGTTGTTGTTTTGAGTTTGTTGGTGCACGAGCATGCACAAATTAGCATTTGAAAGAACCTCTGTAAGAAAGCATTTAAAATATTTGATAAGTGACAATGTAATTGATATGAATTAATTATCAAAGAGATGATTGAAGCATTAAAAGAAAAATATCAGTCACAGGGTTGTGGAAAACGTTTTCTGTGACACCAAATTAACTCACATAAGGTCTCTGAAATTCTGTTTTTAATACTAACAACAGTTCACTCGCTTCTTGCGACAACAACAAAAAAAACAAAGAACGTCACCGAAACATTCTGCACGTGGTAAACTAATCTGAATAAGGCGAGGCCCCCAAGTCACACTCGTCATGAGCCGTCACGCGCCGTCACGCAATGCAAACAGAACATTCTGAACACCCTCCCCCCATTTAAGTGTCTAACAGCTTAAATGTTGTCTTGTTGAGTAATGTTCCTAATCCAATCCCTAGCAATCTGCTTGGACACTCTGCTTGGTTGCACTCTTGGAACGAATGGTTCTGCTTGCGGGTTCGGTTTCCAGTGCAGATCTTCTCCCCTGATCTCTAGGTCACACGAGTTGTAACGGTCGCTCCACCACGTAACCATTCCCTTGCTTCAGCTTCAAACCACGCACTATCCCATCCTTGCCGGAAATTTTGCTTACTACTCGTCCCAGCTTCCACAGGGCCTTGTCCTTTGTATCGCCTTTCAGCAAGACTACTGCTCCTATGTTTGGTGTCTTATCAATGTTCCCTGTGGACTGCTGTTGTTTCTCATCAAGGGCGTGGACGTACTTTTTCATGAACCTCTTTCGAAGTTGTTCTTTACTTTTCTGTAAGAACCTCATCTGCTTAGTAGCATGCTCTTCTCCAATCTTCTCAAGGTCTTCCTCTAGAATGGGTGTTGGTTTCCCTCTCAGTAAGGTGTTTGGGGTGAGCACTGGCTGCTCAAACTCTTCCCCTTGGTAAGACAGTGGTCTGTTGTTCATGGAAGTTTCAATGTCCAGCAAAACTTCTTCTAGCTCTGGGTAGGACAAAAATCTTCGGCCAACCACTTTCGAACAGCTCCTCTTCATGATGCCAACAAGTCACTCAAAGAAGCCTCCCCACCACGGGGTTCGGGCCAAATTGAACTTCCACTTGATGTTCAATGTTCCCAAGTAGTTAGCCACGCCATGGTCTTTCTTCAGGGTGGATAGCCATCTCCTGGTGGTCACAAATGTTTTCCTGTTGTCACTTACCATGGTCTGAGGGCATCCTCTTCTGGCAACGAACTCCTTCAGGGCTCTTTGAAACTCAGTGGCAGTGAGATCACGGCAAAGCTTTAGGTGCACTGCTCAAGTGCTGGCACAGGTGAATAGAGTGACGTAAGCCTTCGCAGTTGTGGACTTCTTAATCTTATAGTACATTGGTCCAGCGAAATCTACTCCTGTGACAGCGAAAGGATCTGACAGTTCAGTTCTGAAGACTGGTAACAGAGTGTCTGAAGTGTATGAGGTGGTCAGTGGCTTCTTACAGTAATGTTGGGAAATTGTACAGTTGTGAATAACTTTCTTTGTCAGCAATCGCAGTTTCGGCGTCCAAAACTTCTCTCGAATGTGGCACAAGGTTGCAGAGACTCCCCCATGCAAGGTCTGCTCATGGACATGTCGAACGATCAAAGTTCCCATCTTGCTATCGCGGGGTAGAAACACTAGGTTGTAGTGTTGAACTCTGCCTGCACATCTGAAGATCCCTCCTCCATCCTTCCTCAAGCCCACATCTGATTTTAATGATTGGGACGTTTGTACCTGAGTGATCCAAAACTTCTCTGCAGCCTCAAATTCCTTTGTCGTTAATGGTCCCCTCTCCTTCTCACACTTTCTACAGTTGTCAATAAACCGTTTCACAAATGCAGTTACTCTCAGGAGC